CAAATATTAATTTATATCCAAGCCTAACTCCAAAGCATGATTTTTTGCCAAATAGGATTTCAAAGCATGAGAATTTGCCACGTAGGCTCAGCGCATTCTGAAATTATATTCAATATTTCCCTTTTTAGAGGACAATTTTGCACATTTACATTTAGTATTAGATATACTAATACCCTACCCTATCCATGCGGAAATCTTGGTCCAAACTCTTCGCTATTGGGTAAAAGATGCCTCTTCCTTGCATTTCTTACGATTCTTTCTCAACAAGTATTGGAATAGTTTGATTCTTCCAATGCCTTCAAAGAAGTGGCACCTCTTCAGGCATCTCTTCAGGTTTGCCCCCACGCCTGCAAACACCCCCCAACTCCCCAAACGCTCCTCTCTCGATCAGATTGTCATCGTCCCACAGGTTTTCGTATTTTTGTCTGATTTGCTCAATATGTTCCTTTCTTGATAAATAAGACATGATATTATTGGGATGGATCTTTCGATAGTTCCACCGGATGAAGCAGTGCTAGAGGGCTGTTTCGGGATGAGATGGGAATATGGGTAGCGGGTTTCATAATGAAGATTGGAATTTGCACTATAACGGGGGCGGAATTGCGGGGCCTTTTTCAGGGACTTAAACTGGTGTGGGAGCGAGGTTATCGTCAAGTAGTTTGTGGCAGATCATCTAGCAAGAATAGCAAACAACTCTCTGATCGGCTTACATATCTTCACATCCCCTCCAACTGGCATGGGAGCCTGGCTCGATCACGATCTTATAGGGGTCTCTTATCCCCATCAAATTATAGCTTAACTATCAGGCGTTCGGCCTCCTTCATTGTACCGCAAAAAAAAAATTATGGTTATGGTGAGAAAAATGATGATGATTACGGGGTTGATGAGCTGTGTGAGGGGTTAAGCAAGGTTAGGGTGGGCTCAGATTTGGTGTGGTTGGATGTGTATACAACCAACTGCATGTTTTGGTTTTATGATTTGTGATTATTTTAATGTGATTTTGTTAATTCGTGATGATCCTGTTGCTAGGATTTGACTTTGTCTTGGTTTATGATTACTATGATAATGATATTCTAATGCTAAAAAAAAACTCATAATTAGCCTTTAAGTCGTTAATAGACAACTCATAACTCAGCCACAAATTCAATTCAAGATAGCATGCACACTTAATTTGACAAATTATGTGATAGTCATAAATTCGGCCGGATCACGAGGATCTTCATCTGGAGTGTTAGTAATTTATTTCCTATATCAATGCAAATAAGAGGATACTAGTAAAATACCTGTGTATTACACGGGTTGAATTAGAAAACTTTTATAAAAAATATTAAATTTTTATTTTTTTAAACTGAAATAATTTAATTTTATATAAAATATTACTTTTGGTTTTAATTAAATTGTCAAATTATATTTTTTTATCATAATAATTAAACACCCGTACATTAAATAAAAATGTCAACCCGTGTTGAATTTTTTTACTTATATAATATAAAAATATTACTATTATTTATTATTACATAAGTATAAAAATATATATCTTAAATATATAGAAATAATATGGTGATATGTATATGCATAAGTGTAGAATATGTTTATTTAATATTAAGCAAAATAAATGAATGTTTTTATTTACTTGTGCGACTTATATGTGTTATATTATAATAAATTTTCTACCTTATAACATATAACTACATTAAACATAAATATATTAATTGATAAATAATTTTATTTTTTAATTAATTTTAATAAATAATTTTATTATTATTATAAAGATAAATATAATTTATTTATTTTATATATACAATATGGATGTCAAATCGAAGCTCATTAAAAGATGATTAATTTGATATATTATATATGTAAAACCGATAAGACATACAAAAGTTATCAACTTTTAAAATATATTTGTAATACAATGGTTATAATAGAAAATGATATTAAATTGAAATACAATTAATACAAATATTAATTTATAT